AGCTTCTTATCATCTCCATCAAAGTCCAATTTCTTCTTTCCACAACGCCATTTTGTTGTGGCGTGTATGGTGCTGTTAGATAACTTGAAATTCAATTCTTCTCACAGAACATGTTGAACTCAGCTGAAGTGAACTCTCCTCCTCTATTGGTGTGAAAAGTTTTAATGGACAAACCTGTATGGTTTTCTACTCTTTCTTTGAACTTTTTGAACCAATCGAAAGCTTCACTTTTTTCTTTGAGCAGTAAGGTCCACATGTACCTTGAGAAGTCGTCAATCAAGACAAAAACATAGCAATTTTTCGCTGGTGTTGGTTGCGAGATAGGTCCACACAAGTCTCCATGAATCAGCTCCAAGACTTGTGTTGCCCTAAAGGTGGCTTTGGGTGGGAATGTTCTTCTTGTCTGTTTTCCTGTCAGAAATGCTTCACACACGTCTTTTTCTTGTAAGACATGTGGCATTCCTACCACCATCTCCTTGTCAACCATATTCTTCATCACGCCATAACTTACATGGCCCAGCCGTGAGTGCCATGTTCGTGTAGTATCTTCTCCTTCTATATGAAAACATTCCGTGTAACTGATCTCCATCGGTGTCTTATAGAGTCGGTTTGTTGATCTTGTGACTTGTACAAGTAATCTTCCGCGAGTGTCTTTCAATGTTAAAGTATCTCCCTTCATGTTTACTTCACATCCACTCTCGGTTGCCTGTCCAAGACTTATTATGTTATGCTTTAAATCAGGGATATAGTAGATATCCTTTAGTGCCCTCTTGTCTCCATGCTTGCCCAAAAAGGTAATCGTACCCTTCCCTTTGATCTCAACATTAGATCCATCACCAAACCGTATTTTTCCCTTGATGTTTTCATTCAAGCTTGAAAAGAACTCCTTGTTTCCTGTCATATGGTTGCTTGCACCATTGTCCAAATACCAAATACTAGCTCCTCCTTTGATTAGGTCGTAGTTCTTGGGAACTACTTTGTCTTCGTTTAGGAAGACTATCTCGTGAACATACAGAGCCTCGTCTTCCTCTGTTTCATTCAGATTGGACTCTTGGTGCTTGTTTTGTCTCTCGGGGCACAATGATGCAAAGTGACCTGGCTTATCACATCTCCAACATATAACCTTGGACCTGTCATTCTTTTGTTTCTGACTTGATTCTCCGGTACTTCCTCCTTGGTTTTGCGTTGGACCTCCCTCGTCCTCTTCCTCTGCCTCCACCACCTCGAGTTTTTCCCCGTGAACCAGTATGTCCTCCTCGGCTATTGTTATTATTGGCCCACATTAGTTTTCCTTGATCTTCCCATTGATCTTCTCCTATCCTCTCTTTGTATGCTTTATTCTTCCAACTATGTCCTCAAATGTGGTCGTGTTTAAGTCCAGAACTTGTTCTAGAGAGGCTACGATATGGATGTACTCACTACAAGGAAGTCCTTTCAAAAACTTCTTTACTAACACTGTCTCTTCAATGGTTTGACCTAATGTGGCAGATTTCGATGCTATGCCTGATATTTTTTTCTGAGAAATCATCGACTGAGTCAGTGTCGGTCATCTTTAGTTTGTCAAACTCAACCATCAATGTATGTTGCCGAGCTTCTCGCACTCTGTATGCTCCTAGATGCCGTGATTTTATGGCATCCCAGACTCCTTTGGCTGTTGTTTGCACTCCAAGTTGAAGTATTAAACTCTCGGGTATAGACTAGAAGAGCAGGGCTGTTGCTACGTCATTCTTTTCAGCATCGGTTGACCCTGGTTCTATGGTTTCCCATACTTTGTATACCCGAAGCATGACTTTCATTCTTATCGCCCAAACTGTGTAGTTTGTCGAGTTCAGCATAGGGCATTGTATTGCCGATGATCCGAGCTCCTTTGTCCATGGGTTACTCACTTCGTCCCCCATGGATTCGTGTCTCACGATCTTTGTGTTAATATCCCTTTAGGTTTCAACTTCGCTCTGATACCAATTCAAGGTGATAATGTAATAGAACTTAGAATTATAAGAACAGCTTTTCCTACTGATTTGGAAACTCTCTCAAAACCAAACCTAACAAATAAGTCTTATGGAACAACTCTCCAAAGACTCTTCTTATATAGTACTTAGCTTCTCCTAAGTCTATTTGATATGGGATTTATAAATCTTATCTAGATACAAACTATATCTAAAACTTATCAAATAAATCCTTATGTTTATCTTCTAAGCACCTTCTTAAAAGATACACTTGCTTTCCAAGTTAGGATTATCCAACATAATACAAAGGGACCAACAGTGGCAAACTCATCTCTCATTCTCGATCCATCTGTCAAAGCATCTTTTACCAAATATTAGGTCTTTGTATTACCACAGGATCCATCTTGGTCAAAGATGCTTCGATAGATGGATCTAGAATGAGGGATGAGTTTGCCACTGTTTGTCTCTTCGACGTCTTTGTGTTATACATCACAAAATCACTAGTGATGAAGAGAAAGGTTGTGAAAGCATGTATATTTAGCGAATTGGAGTCAAAACGAGCAACTTTTTAAATCTACTATAACTTATCATGTTCTTTTCTACATGGCGCGTGCCTTCCACAGAAAACATCCGCGAATGGTTATTCCTCTTGGTCAAGCCTCACCAGCTCCACAAGGTTGAATGCACTTGCCAAAGTTAAAACATTAAGTTTCACAATTAAGTGTTTCCCTCTTTCGGTTTCTTAGTATTAATGAATTTAAGGCACATTGGTAATCTATTAAATGACAATTATTGCTCATTATGAATCACAGCTCTATAAATAGAGTAGTTTTTAACCACTGCTTTCTTCATCCTCTTCATTATCGGCGAGTTTGCTTTATATGTTGTGATGCATAGCATGAAGAGACCAATAACAACTACCTCATCCCCTCGTGATTCATCTGCCGAAGCAACTCTGACTAGGATGGATCCTGTGCTGCATGTGACTAATGAAGCATGGAGTTTTTCTCCAGAAAATAGACATGTAAGTTCATTCGGTTTCAAAATCTCGTCTTTGCTTGAAGTTGTTTTGTGTCTTGTGTCTTTAACCTTTATGATGATTTGGACTGAAATTATGACAATTATTTATATACAGAGGAATGCACTACAACAAAATATGGAGATATTTTGGGCTTGGAAAAGGGAAGAGACTGAAAATTTCACAGGTGACACTTATCCTCTTGATTGGGTAACGAATAAAAGAGTCATACTTTAATATAATGTGTGGTTGTTATAAGGGAAAAACTTAATATTTCAATATTTTCTTTCCACTTACGCTTAGTTTAACTCTTTGATTTGTTTTGGTGAATCATATTCATAGGTTTCCCGGTCAGTTGTGATCGGTTACCACTGGCTCGGATCAAAAGAGTTATGAAATCTGATCCTCAAGTCAAGGTATGGAAAATAATGGAAATTTTCTTGCAATAATCTTTCGATTTATGTTGGCTAGGCATGGAGTTTATGACATTTCTTTCTAACAAAAATGTTGTTCTATACGATATAGAATATGTTATTGATTTTACTGTTCAAGTAATCTAATACTTAGGATTTTTTTTTTACTGAGTAATATAAGAGTGTCAATTTTCAGACGGTTAGCTCAGAAGCTCCTGTAATTTTTGCTAAAGCTTGTGAGATATTCATCATGGAGTTAACGGCTCCGTGCATGGATAGATACTCAATTATCCTCACGTCAGACCATCCGTACTTGTGATATCGCTGATGCTGTAAGGAATTCAGAACTTCATGATTACCTGGATGGTCTTGTTAATTTTGACAAGCGCTCTATCAGCCATCAGGTTAGCTTTCTTCTCCATTGCAATCTTACCCGGTTCAACCAATTTTTGTTCATGTTTTGTGTAACAGGCATGAATATGTTCATGTTTTGCGTAACATGCATTATTCATGAAAAGTTTGTAATATGTGTGCTTAAATTGTTGTGTTCTGTTTAGGCTGTGCCAGAACGTGCACTGCATCAGCAAATGTTTTCTCCTGCTAATATGAATTTGTCCGGCACGGAAGCTCCAACAGACATGGACCAGATTCAGAAGGTATAGTCTATTTCCGTTTTAGTTGGTATCACTTTGATGAGATGTTAAGTTAGATGCCATGTTCGTTTCTTGCATTTACACCAAAACCAGGACAATCTAATGGCTGATCGCTTTATCAACACCGAAGAGTTTGAGCTCAACCATAATCTCCATGTAGTTTTCTTTGAACTTCTATCTGCACAATAATCACAGTTTTATGAGCAATGTGTTACGTTGTATACAAGCTTGAATCCAGGTCGACTATTAGGCATTTTCCAAATATATTTTGGTTCCTTGGAGGTTTTTCATTACTTTTGTTAGGCTTGAGACTTATTAGTTTGTAGCTTAACATTTGATGTCTCTTCCATGGATTGTACTCGTGGCTTTGATTCTGCAGTGAAAATTTTTTGCTATGGTGAAAGCTGTTCTTGAAGAGAAACTCAGTTAAAGGAGGAGAAGAAATCTGAAGAATGGTTTTCAACATTCTATTATATAAAATAAGTTGGATCACCAATCTGTGTCGATCCATATTGAATATTTGAATTATGTAGTCTTTTTGTGTCTGTGATAATTTTCTTTTTTATCATCCTAACTTTTAACTTATAAACAACAAGTGAAACTATCTGCTAACATATTTGCCTATATTTTAAAACACACTAATAACTATCTGCAACTATATTGTAGGGTAAAAGACTAGACCAAATAGCTTGCCATGAATGGTTTTGCAACTTTTCATGTAATACTTTAAATGGTTTCGCATGCTTGAATCCATAGAAGAAAAAAAAAGCAGAACATTCCAAATTCGTCCTTCAACCACAACACACACCTCATTGTTCACGTTTTGGCTGATATCCCCTTTAGAGTAACTAAATTCCTTGTACCTAACAGACCCCACACGTTATGATCTTCTCTATTTAACAACGAAATGTGTCCACAATTTGGAGCAACACAACATTATCTCAATATCAATCGAGAGAACTCATAAACCATGCCTTGCTGGCCGCCTTTCCCGCCATTTGGACCGCCAGGATGTGGACCACCGCCGCCAGGATGCGGACCACCTCCAGGATGCTGGCCGCCAGGTCCACCACCACCTGGCTCCATGCCACCAGGCTGGCCACCTGGTCCACCACCTCCTGGCTCCATGCCACCGGGATGCCCACCTGGCTCTATGGGCTGGCCACCTGGTTCCATGCCACCGGGCTGGCCACAGCAACCAGGTGGCCCTGGTAATCCTGGAACGTCTCCTAGCAATCCAAACCCTCCGACTAAACCTCCATCTGAACCATCACCCGGTAATCCTGGAAAGCCACCTGCTAATCCAGATCCTCCAACAGACCAAACAAAACCTCCAACTAAACCTGAAGGACCTGACGGTTCTGATGAAGTGAAACCTCTGACCGGGCCGAATCCTAGTGGCTATGATGAAGTGAAACCTCCGACCGGGCCGAAGCCTAGTGGCTATGATGAAGTGAAACCTCCCACTGGTCCGAATCCCGGCGAAAACTCTGATCCACCACTCTACTAGACAAAAGAGTCAAATGTGACCAACGTCTATAAAGTTCGAATCAGAAGTTAATAATGTCATTACAATTAGTTCTTGTTGATGATTCATAAGCCACAAAAGGAGCAGACAAAGCTATGAAAATGTAATGTAGGCGGAAACATAGGAACAGAAAACAAGAATTCTGACGTATGCATACCCATTGCTCGGAACAATAAGCTAGACACTTCAACTCCATTTAACATATCTGACTTAAGAGATAGAGAGAAATCGAAATGCAAACTTGCCTTGTTCAGAGGATGCATTGATGAGTGCCATCATGTGACCGCTTCAGCTCCTATAATAAGTGAGTTGGATTTGGACATAAGTGCCCGGAGAATCTACACTTCTTGGATTATGGGAGCATGATCCATTGAAGAAGAAGCAGATTCACTTTAGCGTAAGATACAACAAGCAGAATGGGAACCAAGAACTCTGAACATTAGTACATTGCAGGGATTTTGCAACAAGAACATTAATTCCTACAAACAATAATACAGATTGCAGCTAAAGTTCTAGACAAAAAAATAAATAATAATAATACAAAATGCCAGTATCTTTCGATTAGAATTGAGATGATAATTGTTGTCCAGTTTCCAATTAGGCTTGAGTCAAAAAACTAGAATCATGTCTCCTGGAGCTTTTCTGGCTGCTCAAGCAGCACTAGAGCTTCTCCATTTACATCAGTATCATCGAATGGTTCAGCAGGAGGAGGCCCATCACCACCTGTCTGCTCGTCTTCAGGATGAAAATTGATTGGGAACTTAGTTACTCTAGGTTTGTCTGTGAGTATGTTCCTTTGGACCTTATCAATCAAAACCTTAGTAGGAGGCTCTTCCCTGAGTTGTTCATCATCATAGTCATTGTTCACATAATAGCCAACTCTTATAAACTCTTGATCCATGTAGGAGCAAGTCAACAAGAGCACAGTTACACCAATAATATCTTCCTCACGGATCTTTGACGGATCTGGAGAATCAGCCTGTCATTTATTTTTTGTTTTGAATTCAACAAAACACATTCCACATAAGTCAGAAAAATATTCTGTAACGGAGAGATGAGAGTAAAACCGATCATATGCTACCTGTAACACAAATCGGTAGTTGCCAACATTAACAGGCCCAACGAGAACACTTTCCAAAAGCTGATCAGAGGTTTCATCTTCAGCTGATCCAACGTAGATAAGCTTCCATTCTAAATCTGTATCGAAAGAAAAGAGTCACGATCTTAGACGACAAAAAAAAATAAACAAGAACCTTTGCAGATAGGGATCTACGTCATCCAGAGAGAAAACGAAACTCCAGATCCACACTATAATAGCTTCTATTCTAGAGAAAATCTCTTAGTTTGAAACCCCAAAATTTGACATATGCTTACAAGATGTGACCATGACCTATCAACGACTAACATTAACTAAAATTTTATACAAGGACTTTTGCAGATAAATTCATCCAAAGCGAATACTAAACTCGCTATAATGGCTTCTGTTCTAGCGCAAATCTCTTCGTTCAAACCCCAAAATTTGACATCTTGCATACAAGAATGAGACCATGCCTTATTAACGACAACATTAACTACAATAACAACCTTTGCAGATATGGATCCAATTCATCCAAAGTAAATACTAAATTCACTATAATGGGTTCTATTCTAGAGCAAATCTCATACTTTGATACCCCTGAATGTGACCTTATTTACAAACATGTGACCATGAGCCATGATCTATCAGCGACTAACATTAAGTACAATATTAAACAAGAACCTTCGCAGATATGGATCCAATTCATCTAAAGAGAACTCGTTATAATGGCTTCAATTCTAGCGCAAATCTTACTTTTAAAACCCCAAAATCTGAAATTTGTACATAGATCAATCAACACAGAACTAAGCAACCCCAAATTAAAAGAAGAAATCACCAATAGACCACGAGGATCAATTAAAGCGCAGGAGGATTGGGGGAAAGTAAAAGTACCGTCTTTGAGAGAGGTCAAGCACTCGTAAGAGATCTCGAACTGGAAAGGGTTAACAAACGGCGCTGGATTGTCCAAAACGGTGACGTTAGTGATATTGATGGAGCTCATGATTTGATCGGGAAATCTCAGGGGTACGGGGCTCGGTTTTGAATCAAAACCCTAGATGCTAGGTACTTGATCGGAATCTGGAGAGACCCATGATAAGATTTTTGTTTGAAATGTGAAAGAAGAGTGAGTCAGAGAGTAACCGCCAAGAGGCAAAATCTAGGGTTTTCGAATTTTTTTCGTAATGAAATCGCCGGTGGACAAAAGTTCCAATTTGGGACGTTGGTTTAAACCGGTCGCCGTAGGGCCAGGGACCGGCAATACCGGTTTAAATAACTTGGCGGGAAGAATGTTAAACACACAAATTAGAGGAGGTATAACAAACAAATTTGGGAACAGAAACTAGAAATCGAAGCTTTCTTTTTAATTTAACAGTACTTAGCTACTGTTTAATTAGGCCTAAATAAAATATCTGAACGGAAAAACCTTTTTTTTAAGCTTTATTACTTAAACAAAAACAAGTTTTCCAAAGCAAAGGGAGCTTGCTTGCCAGAGTATCAGCCTCACAATTCGAGGTACGAGCGATGAAATCAAAGGTAATAGAAGAAAAACGAAGGGATATATATGCGCAAGAATTGCAGCTATGTCGTTGTGAGAACCATTTGATTGAAACAGGTAGATCAAGGAAAGAGAATCAGAGAATACATGTATCTCCTCACATCCATTCCGTTTTTCAAGCTCAAGCCTTGCCTTCATAGCCCATGCTTCTGCCGTTAGTGCCGAAGTTACAAAGCTTCTGGGAGGTAGAAGACATGCGTCGCCAGGTTTCGTTGGAATGAATGAGAGCTCCAAAACCACCATTTTGCGAATTGGAGTTCCATGCAGCGTCCACGAATAGGGAGAATCCCTACGATATTCATGATGGAGACCTCGTGGTCAATGGTGTTGGGTGAGCTTGCGGCTGTAGATGGAGTTGCACTTCTTGCCACGCTTTTGCTTCGTGGATTGCTTTAAGAATAACTTCCTGGTGTGAAAGGGTTCTATCTCCAAAGTAAACTTGATTCTGAGCTGTCTAGAGATTCCAACAAATCCGTGTCGCCAAATTAGTTTGAGGGATTCCAATTGGTGGCAAGGGTGTTAGATTCTTAGACGCTGCACTGAACTCGAGTTCATTGCCATGGAAAAGCTGTGACCAATTGACCACAGGGCAATCGTTCCAGGTTAACCTCGCAAAAAGGCAATCTCGCAAGACATGTAGAATTATCTCCATTGCTCCACATCTTTAACACAAACGGTCAACCTGTACTCCGCGATGAGCTGATTGGTGACCCACATGCAAAGCTCCTGTGACTGCTTTCCAAAGAAAGATCTTCCTGTGACTGCTTTCCAAAGAAAGATCTTGATCTTTGGTAGAACCTTGAGTCTCACAGATGTTACTCTGTCAATTGAAGTTCGGATTAGCCTATGAAGTCTCCTCGATTCGCATAAGGCTGTACCCTGATTTCACTGAATATTCACCATTTTTTTTGGCAGCCATGTCATCACATCCTCACGGGCAATCGAACTCATAGGTAGAGATCAGATACAACACTCGAAAGCTGGGATTTGGCTTCTCACTTGTCTCAATCCCACTGGTTTGTACCCTGATGCATAAGGTCTGAAACGCGAAAGTGTGGGCCAGTCCGAATAGTCTTGTTGGGCAATCAGTTGACAACCAGGGATCGGTCCAAACCTTGATCTTCTCCCTGTTTCCAACTCTCCAACGTAGACCCTTTGCGATAACCTCCCTGCCTGTCATAATGCTTCGCCTACCATGGGATGGGTTAGACGTCATCGAGCGTTCCATAAAAGAATTCTTAGAGAAGTATTTTCCCAGTAAGACTCTAGCTAACAGGGATGTAGAATCTCTGATTAATCTCCAACCCAAGTTTGCTAGAAGTGATTCGTTGAAGGCCATGATAACGCGAAATCCCAATCCTCCACTGATCTTGGGAAGAGTTACTTTATGCCATGAGAGCCAACTCATCTTCTTCTTATCTGCTTTAACTGTCCCACCAGAAGTGGGTCAACACCGGATTGTATCTGCTTCCAGATTGAGACCGCAATCTTCAAGCAAGACATAAAGTAATTAGGCATCGACAACAGAACCGACTTCAACAAAATTTGTTTTTCTGCCTGCGATAAGAAACGAATCGACCAGCTGTGAGACCTCTGTCTGATTTGATCCACCAGAGACGCAAAGATGTCTCTTTTTTTCCTCCCAAAGTTCTTAGGAATTCCCAGGTATTTCATATTTCCCCCTTCTTGATGAATGTTGTCTTTTGACTCTATCGCATTGTTGCAGGGGCGTTTTGGAGGAGAACGTAATGGAAGACTTACGCAGGTTGATACACTGACCTCAGACTGATTCATATTGACGAATAATATATGATACTTTTCTGCAGCTGTCCGAGTTGGAGCGACAGAAAAGCATTGTATCATCCGGGAATAACAGGTGGTTACCTCTCGGGCTGTTCTTGGAGACTCGTATTCCCTGTAGGCTGTCATCGAACTGCACCTTCTTGCACAAGCTCACTAGAACTTCTGTTCAAAGGATGAATAAGTACGGAGATAACGGGTCACCCTGCCTCAGTCCAAGCGAGGGTACCACTCTTCCTTGCGGTCAACCATTGATCAGAAACGAATATGAAACTGTCGAAACACATTGCATAATCCAGCGTAACTATGTTCTGTGGAATCCTAGTTTTCGTAATACAGCCTCAAGGAAGTTTCATTCAATCCGGTCATATGTTTTACTCATATCCGTTTTAACAGTTATAGTTTCTTTTTTTTGCTTTCGAGTTCCTCAGGTAATGGAGCATCTCATGCGTTAGAAGGACGTTATCTGAGATAGATCGGCAGGGACAAAAGCTGTTGCCTTTCCGAGATAATCTGTGGTAGGATTGGATGTAGGTATCGAATCGGTATCGAGCATAATCAAAACTGAGAAAATACCAGAATAGATCCTAAACTTTTATACTTGAGAAAACGGAATCGAACCAAGAATGGAGCACCTAAACTATCAGAAATATAATTAAATACAAAAAATGTTAATTTTATTTATACTTGATATAATAAAATACATAAAATTACAATTGTAAATCTGAAGATATTAGTTAATTTCTGGGTATTGGGTATTTCAGTATATTTTTGAGATTCATGGTGGCGAGGGATAAGAGTTTATTTGATGCATATTTTTACTTCTTCAAGAAAAGTACTACTCACAACTTTTAATATGTTCAAATTTAACTGTACAGATAAATGAATAATTTTTCTTGTTCTAATTGTGTCGTCCAACTATTTTGCTGAAGGTGGTATGGTTCTGGTGTTTTTGGACTAGACAAATATATCTGAGGCTGCTAATGTTATTGCTCCGAATCTCATCAAGAAATGTGAACCTCTTCTTGTGTCGGTTTAGAGAATTACGGGGAGGAGATAGACTTGATTGCGTCTATCAATTTTCTTAATCAAATCTTTAAGAAACCTTGAATTTCCATAGCATGGGTTTGACAGACTCTCATATTGAATCTTGGGTGCGTCTTCTAGTTCTTCCATTTTTTTTTAATTGTGTAATTTTCATTGAAATTTTCATTGACATGTCTTCAGTGGAATTAGTATAACTGTTAATTGCACAAACTGGATTGACTTAAAAAACCACCTCTAAATGAGAAGGTAATTCATTTCATTTATCTATATCCAAAGTTGAGCCCCATCAGAAGTCCTTAAACAAAAGCCAAACTTCTGAGATTACAAGCAGGTGATAACTTCAAAAGACTCTGCACTATGAAAACACTAAGGTTTTAGCCATAACATGCTTGGTTGAGCATTAAAGGATTCAAAGCAGTGAGGTGTTTGGTAGACAGTCATCTCATACCATATTAAGTTAAAAAATAGTATTTTCGAAAAAAAAACTTAGTTTATTTCTCCAATTCAAGTTAGGTAGTTAAAATCAATAGTGAGATGTTTGGGGGACATAAATCAACAAAACTGAGGCGTTTGGTGGACAGAGCCAAGCCATATTCATCTAAAAATTTATGATTTAGAAAAAATAGTTTTTTTTTCTCTGACTCAAATTAGTTAGTTAACAATCAATAGTGAGGTGTTTGGTGGGCACAAATCTACAGCACTGAGACGTTTGTGGAGGGAAAATTTTTGGGTTCACTTCCAGGGGGTAAGGGATGAATCCCTTTATTCATCCATTTTTATTTAAGCCAATTAGAATGTGACATGTAATATTATTTTTAAATAAAAATAAAAACGAAAATTAAGTAATTAAAACATGAAAAAATTGGCCAGAAGGGTAGTTTTAAGTTTTTAATTTGCTAAAAGGGTGTGTTTTGAAAAAGTGGATGTGTTTGGGTAGTTTTTATGTGTTAATATCTATATTATCCTCATAAGTTCAGTTTATTTACATTTTCATGCCATTATGATAAATTAATTATTAAATAAAATAAAGGAAGAGAGAGAAAACAAAAGGAGGAAGAGAAGAAGAAAGAGATAGTAAGAGAAGAAAAATACAGATCTTAATTAAAAAATATTATTTTCTCTTTCTTCTTTTTATTTCTTCTTTTTCTTTTAATTCATTCACTCTTATATATTATTTTAAATAATAAAATATATATTTAAAAAATTCATAGATTTTTTTCTACACCTTTTAAAATTAGAAAAACTTGAATGGTGGATAGGATAGGGTAGTGTTAAACAAAAAAAAAATCTTGACATAAAACTTCTAAAAAGTAGATTTTAGGCCTTGATTGTTTGCAGTTTTTTTAACAGATTTTAGTTTTTGTTTTTCAAAAAACCATTTATTAACCAGTCCAGTTTTTGAAAAAAATGGATTTCTTAAATTATAAACCAAAAACCACCCTATATGAATTTTTCAAAGAAGTTTCGTAAGTTTTAGTTATTTACTTTATTTTTTTTAAATACTGCTATTTTTTTCAATAAGTAATTACGAGTAAAAAATATATTTCTAAAATAAAAAACGTATAAGCAAAACAATATTTCATTTCTAAAATAACTTCATTTTACCTATGTACATTTTTATATATAACTTTTACTCTAGAAAAGATTTATAATTTTATAGTTTTTATTATTTATTATATTTTTCAGTTAATTTTCTTAGAAAAAAATATATGATTTTGAAACTTCAATTTTATTTATTTAATTTTGTATATTTTAAACACATAAAATTAAATTAAAATTAAAAGCATAGAAACTTTTAAAAAACAATTATTGATAAAAAAATCAGAAACTAAACAAATCATACAATTTAAGATTTTAGAAAACAAAAATCTACAGAAAAATCAAAAACCAAAATTTTAAAAACCTAAATTCAAAAATAAAAAATCAAAAGTTAAAAACCAGAAACCAAAAACTAAAACTCATGCAAACATTCATGGCTTTAGTTTTTGTTTAAAAATTGGAATTTACTTTAAAAACTAGTTTTCCTAAAAAATAGGAATCATTTTGTCAAAATCATGATTGGATAAAAAAATGATTTTTTGAAAAACAAAAATCAAAATATATTCTATAAACTGCAAACATTCAAGACAGTATACCTCAGTTATATACATTAGACATGATATTCAATTGAAGGTATCCAGTCGTACACTGAATTGTGAATACTTAATAGTTATACACTGAATTGTGAATACTTAATAGTTGTACACCAAATAAATGGTGAATATCGTTGAGTGAATATCTTCAGGTGTACACCAAATGGTGAATACCTTTATGTGTACATCAAATGAATGAATATCAAATCGTCAATACTGGTGAATACCTTTATGTGTATACTGGTGTACACCTTTATGTGTACACTGGTATACACCAAATGGTGAATACTTTTACATGTACACCAATTGGTGAATACCTTTACGTGTACACCAAATGAATGAACACCAAATCATGAATATCTAGGGATGAATACTTTCACATGAATACTGTTAAATGAATACTTGATAGTTGTACATCAAATGGTGAATACTTTCAAAATTTTATGTATATTGCAAAAAATCAAATATTGTCTGTTTTAAAAAATTCAAATTTCTGTATGTGTTAAAAAAGATTGTTATATTTTTAATATATATATAAATTATTAAATGTTTTATTATTATAAATAATTTATAATAATTGATTCAATGGAAAAAATAAAAAAAAGGAAAGAGAAAATAATAATATTTAAATATACTACTTTTTTCATCTCTCACACTCTCTCTCACGCTCTCTTCCACTCTCTCCCCACTCTCTTTCAATCTCTTACACTTTCCATCACGCTCTCCCATGCTCCCTTCCTCCTAATAAGGGCTTTTTTGCCATTTAAAAATGTTACAGTTCAAAAACTACCAAAAACACACGTGAAACCAAATACACACCCTTTTGGCCAATTAAAAACTTAAAACTACCCTATTTACCAAGAAGCTCTTATTATTTTTAGCTTATTTTTAAGTTTACAGAATATGGTTTAGGGTATAAATATTAGAATTTAGGGTTTAGGGTTTAAAGTTTAAGTTTTAGGGATTAGTGTTTAAAATTTCAAAAATAGTTTAAATAGTTTTATAAAAATATATGTTTATCCAAAATAAATTATAAATAAAATTTAATATTATGTGTGGGTTCACTATTTCTAATTTAGGGTTTATTTTTGTCCAATTAGAAAATTTTGATTTTAAAATTTAAGTTTAGTATTATGTTTGGGTTCACTATTCTAATTTAGGGTTTATTTTTTTGCCCAATTAAAAAATTTTGTGTTTAAAATTTAAGTTTAATATTATGCTTGGGTTCACAATTTCTAATTTAGGATTTATTTTGTCTAATTTAAAAATTTAATGTTTAAAATTTAAGTTTAATATTATGTTTGGATTCACTATTTCCAATTTAGGGTTTAGTGTTGTCCAATTAAAAAAAAAAATTTAAAATATGCAGTTTTGGTAAATTGCCATTTTTTAATTTTATTACATGACATATCTTCATTGGTTAAACTAAGAAGGGGTGAATGAATTGATTCACCCCACGGGTGAACCCAAGAATAGTTCTTTGTGGAGAGAGTCACCTAATGCCATATATGGCAGAAAAGAATAGGACTTTCCAAAAACATTAGTATTTTTTTTTCTGATTTAAGTTAGTTAAGTATTTTCTCTGATACAAGTTAGATAGGTAGAAATCAAATCAAGTTAGTTACTTAGAAATCAATACGAAGTTGTTTGTGGACATAAATTCTACAAAAGTGAGGCGTTAGGTAAACAAAGCCTTTTTAGTGGAGCAATTCTTGAGTTCACCTCTAGGGGTGAACTTCTTTATTCATTCTCTTGTTTTCTAGCCAATCAAGATCTGCCTTCTGATTAAAAATAAAAATAAATATTATCTTAATAAAACAATTAAGATAAATTGACTTTTTTATCACAGAAAATTAAAAACATTTTATTATTCATACAAAATAATTCGAATTAATCATTAAAATAATTCTTTTATTCACTTCTTCTTATTTGAACCAATAAAAATCAGTCAAACAATAAAATTAAGTAAAATAATTAATCAAAATAGCATATTTTAAATTTTCTTTTCTAATAGGGAAAAACTAAGCCCTAAATTAGAAATAGTGAACCCAAGCATAAGATTAAACTTTATTTATAATTTATTTTTGATGAACATATATTTTTTACATAATATTTTTTACATATAATTTTTTATTTTGTCTAAATCCTAAACTCTAATCTTTATACGCTAAACCATAATATGTAAATATTTAAGAAATTAAAAAATACAAACTAAATCTAGATCTCTTAATTCTAATCTGTAAATCTAAAAAATATTAGAAATAAAAACTAAACTTTAACCATTAATCCCTAAACCCTAAATTGTAATTTGTTAACCCTAAAATTATATATCAATATATATATATATATTTTTTATATAAAGATACATACTTTTATAAAAGATTTGAGTAAGTGTTTTCATCGTTTAATTTTATTTTTATGTTTATAAAAAAAATTATAAATAAAATTTAATATTATGCTTAGATTAACTATTTCCAATTTAAGGCTTAGTTTTCTCCCATTAGAAAATAAATTTAATTATCTTAATTAATTTTATCATTTGGCTGATTTTCATTCGTTAAAATAAGAGGAAGTAAAAAAAAAGAATTAGTTTAATGACTAATTCGAATTATTTTATTTGAATAATAATTTTTAAAATTTTCTGTGATAAAAAAGTCAATTTACCTTAATTGTTTTATTAAAAAAATAATTATTTTTATATTAAACTAAATGGCATGTTTTGATTGGTTAGAAACAAGGAGATGAATAAAGAGGTTCACCAGTAGGGGTGAATCATTTCATTCACCCCCTCTGAATTTAACCAATGAAAATATGCCATGTAGTAAAATTAAAAATAACAATTTACCAAAACTGCATATTTTAAAAATTCTTTTTTAATTGGACAAAACTAAACCCTAAATTAGAAATAGTGAACTCAACCATAATATTAAACTTAAATTCTAAACAGAAATTTTTTTAATTGGACAAAAATAAAACCTAAATTAGAAATAGTGGACCCAAGCATAATATTAAACTTAAATTTTAAACACAAAATTTTTAATTGGACAAAAATAAACCCTAAATTAGAATAGTGAACCCAACCCTAAATTAGAATAGTGAACCCAAGCATAATATTAAACTTAAATTTTAAACACAAAATTTTCTAATTGAACAAAAATAAACTCTCAATTGGAAATAGTGAACCCAAGCATAATATAAAATTTTATTTATAATTTATTTTGGATAAACATATATATTTATATAACTATTTGATCTATTTTTGAAATTTTAAACATTAATCCCTAAAACTTAAACTTTAAGCCCTAAACCTTAAATTCTAATAATTTATACCCTAAACCATATTCTGTAAACTTAAAAATAAGTTAAAAATAATAATAAACAGTAATCCCTAAATTTTAATTTTTAAATATTAAAAGAAATTAGAACAAATTATCAATCCTAAAACTCTAATCCCTAATTCTAAACTTCAATCCATTAACTTTTAAAAAAATATTATTATTTATATACATTATATATATATATATATTAAAAATCTGAGTGAATTTTTTTCTTACTTAATTTTTATTTTTTATTTTATTTAAAAATAATATTACATGTCATATTCTTTTTTTTTTAAAACGGTTAATGCATTAATAGATTAAAATGTCATTTACAAAGAAGTAGATATAGACGCCAAGGCGTTTTTTGCAGGAGTGTCGGCTAAACTGTTTGCCGTTCTCAACACATGAGAGACAATAACAAAGGGAAGATGAGCTATCAGATTGTCGATGTCACCGAGAATGCCAAAAATTTCTTTGATCGGTTCCTTCCGCTTGATCGCATTGATCAGAGCTAGACAGCCGGATTTGAGAGAGATCTTCAAAAATCCGAGACGCAAGGCGTGCTCCAAGGCAGATCTGACTGCAAGGGCTTCCCCAACAAGAGGGGATGAGACTGGATGTTCACAAGCTGACTCCTGGTACAAGATCGAAGAGTTTCTGATGATGATCCATCCTGATCCTGACGCTTTGAGATCTTCTTTCCACGCTGCATCGGAGAAAATTTCCACTGTATCATCCGGAAACGCAGATAAGGTAGCTGCTGTTGTAGATCTTTTTGTAAGTTCCTTAATCTGCGCGTTTTCCCAATCTCGTGCGGATACAATCATCTTAATCGTTACCTCTGCCTCCGTTAGGCGTCGATTCTCAAAGGAGAGGACATTTCGGGCAACCCAGATTTGCCAACAAACCCAAGGGAACAGTGGTCCTGCAGTCACTCCTGTCGGTGGGAGGCATACGGCTTTGCGGCCTTCATGTTAACCTGCAGTGAAAATTTGACACTCTGCAATGCGTGGATCTGCAGAGAAAGGTATGAGTTTCCAGACTTTCTTCGCATAAGAGCAGTGTAGGAATAGATGTTCCGTAGTTTCTTTTTCTCCACAGTGGGGGCATGATTCGGTTGATTGGAAGCCCTGTTTTGCTAAGTTTTCCCCTGTAGGAAGAACTCCTTTGATAATCTTCCACAGGAAAGTCTTCATCTTAGGGGAAAACTCTCCATGCCACACATTTGAGTTCTAGTTGAAGGTAGTCGGGTTGGCTTCTGCAGTTGTAAAGTTAGATGAGTCCGCAAGGGAGAAGTAGTATCCTGATTTGGTGGAATAATCTCCCGATTTAGTAGACAGCCAGATATGAGAGTCGCTAACTGATGTCTTGCTTGGTTTCAAAGCCTTGATCGTGTTTAGGAGATCAGGGAAGAGATCTCTGATCATATCTATTTTCCAAGCTTTTGTGTTAACATCGAGTAGTTCTGAGACAGTCATATCCTTTGTTGGTTCTGTAGGAGGTTCCATGGGAGCAAGTGGTTCAGAGAGTGAGAGTCAAGGGTCATACCAAACGTTGGTAGTTGAACCATCCCCAATGCCTTTGCCAAGATTTTTGCGAAGTAGATCCCTTCCGACTAGGATGTCATACCAACCATGCGAGGCAGAAGGGGAGTGCTCAACTCGAAGGAAATCCTGGTATTTGCAGTATTTACCCGTGAGGACTTTTGCTAGAAGACAAGTTGGATTTTTAAGAATCCGCCATCTGATCTTTGCGAGGAGAGCATCGTTGAAGATCGCTATGACTCTGAATCCAAGACCTCCATCCTTCTTCGAGCGCGTAAGTTGGTTCCAAGCAACTGATGTTGCTAGGGTTGACTTCGCGGCTTCATGTTTTAAATTTATAACTCTAGATATCTGTAAGTGCACAGCAGTGCGTTGTAGTACTTAGGGTGTCGATCCACAGAGAATCCACGCTTTACCTGCAGAACCTTAGAACCAGAATTAGTAAACGAAGTCTAAGACGAAATACGTGATTTGGATAAGTTGTGCGATTTCTATATATGTATTTTAAAAGGGGATTTGAAAACTAAAAGTGAATAAATCGATAATAAATCTAAAGGATGAACAAAGCTCTTAATATTGATCCTAGTAAATTCTTAGAACTCGAGTCACGGACGTATGAATACGCCACTGTCGTGATCATAGACAACTATCTCTCGCAACCCTGACCAGTAGGTTTCCACTCTGGCCCTGGAAGGGAAAAGATGCATTATGTTTAAGACTCGTCAACATTCACAGCTCGCTCATAGGTAGGTTTCCACTCCTATGGTTGATCTGCTCTTCTCAAACTAGATCCAGCCCCGGATGAATACTTTCGCAACACCAAAGACCTAGATCAGTCTCTAGTTCGCGACGCTAGATCCATGCTTTAAGTATAAGTTTAGAAGAAAGATTTCTAGAATTCAGCTTTGGTTTATCTCGCGAAGATCCTTATCGAACATAGTCGATTCCCTTCGATCGAGCCTTTAAACTCATACCTCATCATTCCAAAACGTGCATAAAGTAAATAGAAAAGATGTGCATAGATTAATAAGAAGAAAGAAGTAGAGAAAAACAGACAAGGAGATGAAGAAGAAGCATCTCGATTTCGAGATCTAAGCTCGGAGAAAACTTCTCTTCAAATCCTTTAAACAACTAATCTAATATGAAGAAGATGAAAACGAAATTGAAAGATGCATATAAGTAAAAAAACCGAATTAAAATAAAGGTAGAACATAAAGAGGGTTCAAGAGAAATCTCTATCTCCCTAAACTAAGAACTAAGAACATAAAAGCATAAAAACCCTAAAAAACTAAATTTGGTGGCTCCCAAAAGGGATTCTTCTGAGGCACACGAAAATAGGTCTCCTTAGACACATATTTATAGGTCTTGAACTTTCTCCAGTCGTCCTTAGGGTTTCCAATGAAGAAAAAACGAATTGGGCTTGAAACAGGGTAATGGGCCAGCCTTTTAGTCGGCACCGTTCGCGAGGCTTCTGACCGCGGTGAATTGGGGTTTGGCCGCGGCCAGAGACTCGTAACCGCGGTCGAGAGTGTGTTCTCCGCGGTCGTGGCTCCTGGACCCGCGGGGATTGGTCTTTGAGGTTGAATCTTCATTCTGTGCTTGCTTCCTTCGCGAGACTGCAGAACATTTCTTCAGTGCATCAAGGATATATGGAGATCTAACCATTGGATTGTCTTCAAACTAATTGAATTTGAAAGCTAGTTGTCTCTTCTATATTATGTCCGATTTTGGGGATGATCTGACGGTGGGAAGGTCTTCATCGGATATGAAACTTCTGAGGATCCGAATTTACCCAAAATGGTCTTTTGCTTCAAAATGCACAACTTTTGCCTTAATTACCTGAAAAGAGTCTTGGAACTACAAATACTAGAAACCCATACTTAAAACACTTAAAAGAAATAAAAAGCATTTGAAAAGCATTTAAAAACAATCCACAAAAGTGGTCAAAATACGGTGTTATCAGCAACCCAACACATCTTTTTGATTCCATGATTAGAGTCCCACCAGAATCTGGTTAGGCTCGACTGTATTCGCTTATATAGGCTTTTTGGTAGTTTGAAACAGGTCATGGAGTATGTTGGGATGGATGCAAGGACTGACTAGAGTAAAGTAAGCTTTCCTGCATTGGAGAGGAATCGGGTTGACCATGAAATGGCCTTATGATGGATGCGGTCCACAATAGTAGTGAAAAGATCCTTTTTTCTCCTCCCGAAGTGTTCAGGTAGGCCTAGATACTTGCCTTGTCCTCCTTCATTGTCTATTCCCAAAAATTTTTTGACTCTTTTTTTAGTTTCCGGTGGGGTCTTTTTTGAGAAGGTGATTGCCGATTTAGCCGTATTTATCATTTGACCTGATACTGCCTTGTATTGTTGAAGAATGGCCTTTAGCTCTAAGCAATTTCTTTCATTTGTTTTGCAGAAAAACATAGTGTCGTCGGTGAAGAGAAGGTGGTTGATAAGGGGGCTGCCACGAGCTACTCTGATACCAGTGAGATGGCCATTATTCAGAGATTTTCTGCATAGGCCAGAGAGCACTTCTCCACAGAGGATGAACAAGAATGGTGACAGGGGGTCACCTTGGCGTATGCCTCTAGTTGGTACGATATTGCCCCTAGCCGTGCCATTAATGAGGTAGGAGTAGGTAACCGTTGTGATGCATTGCATAACTAGATGAATCCACTTCTCATGGAAACCAAACTGTTTCAGGACTTCTGCTATAAATGACCACTCCAACCGGTCATAGGCCTTGCTCATGTCGGTTTTAATGGCCATGGAGCAGTGGACTTGAGCTTCTGAAAGTTTTAGGAAGTGGAGCACTTCATGCGAGATCATAACATTGTCAGTAATCGATCTTCCAGGTACAAAAGCACTTTGATTCTCTGATATGATTTTGGGGAGAATTGTTTGAAGTCTTTTAGTAAGAATCTTGGAGAAGATCTTGTAGAACACATTGCATAGGGCGATAGGTCGATAGTCTGCTGTAGTTTTAGGGCTTTGAACCTAAGGGATGAGCCTGACGTGTGTGGCATTGACAGATCTTGGGAGATTGCCTGTGACAAAGATGTTTTGTATCTCCTCTATGACTTTGGGACCTACGATTTGCCAAATAGACCTGAAGAAGCATGCGGGAAAACCATCCGGGCCTGGAGCTTTGTCTGGATGGATGGAAAAGATGGCTGCCTTCACTTATTTGGGTGAAGGTACGGCGATAAGGGCTTGATTATCAGCCTCCGAGAGTCCAGGAGTGATGGCCTTCTTGACTGTTGCAGTGCAGTCCGAGTTTATGGAGGTAAACAGCTTCGCGTAATAGGAACATATGACTTCAGTTATTTCATCATCCTAATATACTACTTGTCCTTCACTATTTTCAATCATAGAAAACTTATTTCTTGCTCTTCGTCCTTTGTGATTGCATGGAAATATCCGGAGTTCTTGTCTCCAAGGGCCAGCCACAGGTTTCTACTACGTTGCTTCCAGTAGGCTTCTTCCTTGAGGTATGCATCTTTTAACTTGTTACAAGTTTCCTGTAGCAGATCTTCGTTGTTTCCTTTTATTCTTCTGTCATATCTGAACAGACCATGTTTTTTGTGTGCAGAGACTTCCAGGTATGTGACGATGGGTCTGTGGTCAGAACCTTCGAAGTTTAGATACTTGCATCGGCCCGAGGGAAATAGCTCAGCCCACGAGCTATTGGAGAGAGCTCGGTCCATTCGGCAATGTACAAGGTGCGTGTGCCTAGTACCTCTCCAAGATAGAGGATCACCTGAATGCTGAAGATCAAAGAGGTCGCATTGTGCCATGAAGGATCTGAAGGCAACAAAGGTACCTTCTGCTCTGACAGGTCCTCTTCTTTTTTCTGAATTGTCTAATATGTCATTAAAATCTCCTGTCAAGTACCAGGGGGCATCTCGGGAGTTAGATAAATCGGTGAAGTGTTCCAGAGATCCTTCTTTTTGGTCTAATCTGGCTCGCCATAGGTGAAGGTAGAGAAGAATTTCCTTCCTTTGTAGGAGATTTCAGAGTCAATGTAGTTGTCGCAGACGTTGAGGATGCTGATGTTAATCTCCTTCTTCTAGAAAAGGGCCAGGCCTCCACCATTTGGGCTATGGGGAGGGACAAAGAAGTGAGATTCATGATCGAGCCAGCTGAGCTTCTTGGTTATAAATTCGCTGTTGTTTTTGGTCTCCATGAGGAACCGAATGTCGGGTCGGATGCTTTTTTGCATCCCCTTCAAACGCTTGACTGTTGCAGGGTTCCCCAGCCCACAACAGTTCCAGCTCGCGATCGCTAAGGAAGAGGATCCTGGGGATCCCGAAAATTCCCCTTCTCCTTCTGAGATTGATTGGGTTTGTTCTTGGTTTTTGGTGCAGGTTTGCTCGATGAATGGCCAGAGCGAGAGGGAGGTAGAGGTGGGTTCTGTGTGGAGGCAGATCGTGGCCTGGACGAGGTAGGATCATGTGGATTATTTCCTGGTTGTCGCATAGAGTGTGAAGTGTTCTTTGTCTTTGAGAGTTTAACCTTTGGCGAGCTTTGCAGGTGGTCGGAGAGCATTTTCCTCGAAGCTGCTCCTTTGAGCATTGGACTTGTGGGCACAGATTTCTTAGGAGGTCTACCACATTTTTTGGTTAAAGGTGGATTTTGTAGTTGTGGCAGGTCATGCTCCGGTTGAATGATCTCCTCATCTAGTCGTTGTTGTTGTTGTTGCAGGCAGCTTGGGTTTTGGTTTAGAGCGTGTTCCAGCATTCTCGCTGCTGTCTCAGCCATTAGTCCATTTTCCTCTCCTTGAATGACCCTCTGAATGCGACCAGCACTTTTGATAGGGTCATCACAGTTAATATACTGGATCGTGACCTCCTGAAGATCATTCAAGATTTGTGAGGTCATTTGGGCATGAGGTGAAGCCATATTGAATTCTTCCTCTGCCAGGTTTCTTTCCAAAGCAGGGATGCGGGGTTGAGAAGTTGCAGTCTGGTCCTGGTGATTTTCTTCTATTTGTTGCTTTTCTCTCCAAATTTGTCCTTGAGAGTGATTTAGGGGTCTCGCCTTATTGCGCGGTGCAGGTAGATCCAGCCTCTCATGGTTGGACGATGCATTTCCATTGTCCTGGGAGTTGTTTTTCCTTGTCAGTTGGTGGAGGAGTTTGCGGTAAGAGATTCTCTGTCCCTTTGATTAAACTTGGTGTCCCTTGGGTTTTGTTGGTTCGCTGAGAGGGTGTTTCTTGTATCTCCTGATTGTCGTTGAGATGGTCTGGTACCAAAAGGATTACCATGTCTGTCTGTTCTTTGGTTGTAGGGCCGATCAGATTGGTCTGAGAATTGGGTCTCTGTTTTCTTTTGCAGTGAGTCATCCATTCTCCTTTCCTTACGGGTTTGAGCTTCATTAGGTTTGAGCAGGCTTGGGCAATGTTGTCGCTCATCAGTGAGGCGACATCAGAACTTGCAGTATTTGTCGAGCTTGTTGTATCGAAGAGAAACAGGCGCTTCCGTTCTGTCAGTGAACTCGATAATTGTCTCCATCAAAAGGGGGGGCGAGGCCATCAATCGTAACATGAATTTTTGCTTCCGTAGCCGTGAGTTCAAAGCTGTCCAAATGGCCCACCTCTTTGCCAATGTTTTCCACTAGCTCGTTTTTCCAGTAATGGAGGGGAAGGCCTCTGAGTCGGATCCAAAAGGGAATTTCCGAAGGGAAAGTAGGGGAGATAATCGGTTCCCACTTCTGGATGATGAGCATCCAACGAGCATAGAGGTGGGATCTGCTTTCGAGGACTTGATGGAGGTCTTCAGCGTTTTCAAATCTGAACTGGAAACAGTCTCTTCCCAGATCTGCTCCCACAGCTCTTCCTCGAAGTCCCCATCGCTTGGAGAGAAAGGGGAGCATGGTCCACATCCTCTGCTCTCGAGGGTTAGTGAGTCTGCCGATAAGTGTGAGCTCATTTGCTTTGATTAGGTCAGAGGTATCCATAGCTGGAGCTTTGATGCGTTTTGTAGGGGGAGACTCAGGTGAGGAAGCAATTCCTTTCCCTTTTTCCGCGTATGAGAATCGGCGTGACATTGTTACTGGAAACAGATGAAGTGGAGAAAAGCAGAAAGTGAGAAATGAAGCAGATGGAAGAGCCGCCAAGGTGATGTGGAGCTTTAGGGTTTGGAGGGATAAGGTGCCAAACGGTCAGGAAGGAGCTTGATTCGGACTGTTGGGTAATGCGAGTGACCAGTTAATGAGAAGTCTTTTTGCCTCCGTGGCAAACCATGTTTTTGAAAACCACTTTGGATTTCGTGTGCAGATGAGGTTTGTGGGAAAACTTAGCTTGCAGGGGAGAAGATGTGTTGAGATGAGCGAAGCTTCTCTCCCAAGGGAAGCTTGAGGAGAGTGGATGAGAGACCATCTGGGGATGGTTGAAACGTGTGAGATGAGTGCTTGAAGTGTTGAGCTCTTTCCTGGCGAAGGGGATCCATGATGCTGCAGCGGTTGGAGACTAGTTGAAAGACGACGGAGGAGACTGTGAAGAGCAGCGAGGCTTACCGGGGAGGTGGTCAGCGGACCCTCTGACCATGGTCGGGGGCGGAACCCGGGAAAGAAGACTCAAGAAGGGCAGTATTGGGGACCAAAAGTTACTACTTTAGGAAATAAACCACTACCAACGAAGAAACTAGAAGGGGAAAACCGGTTTGGTGCGGTTTTTTGGGAGTCGGGCCTGAGAGAAAAGTAACAAGAAATTAGTACTATTTTACATGTCATATTCTAATTGGCTCAAATAAGAGAAGGTGAATAAAGGGATTCACCCCTAGCGGTGAACCCTAGCATTTTTCTTTTAGATTTCTATGAAAACCATCTCATTGGAAAGTTAACCATTCCAACAGCAAAAGTACATCAACTCATTTGAGGAATATCTAGACATACACACGCAAGTCAATATTTACTTTGGATACTATTGGTGAATTTATTTTCCAATTTTTGTATACTTAATCATATTATTCAGTGTTAAAAAAAAAAATTAAGACTTCGAGAAAATAGTTATTTACTTTGATTCAAGTTAGTTTGTTAGTAATCATTACTTATTTATGGAATTTAACATACTGTTTTGGGGTTTTTCATCCTCTTGGAAACTAGGTTTCTTACAAGTAAAACAAACGAGGTCAGTGGTCGAAAAATATGATGGGGAAGTATTTTAATAATGCTCTGAAGTTCAAGTCAGAAAATACAAAGAAATACCACAAAGATTGCATCAGAAAACGGGAAAATGTCAGAAAATGTGAAAAAAGAGTTATGGTGACTCCGGGTCCTCCAAAAGGATGGATCCGCAGAGTGTCTAGACCAATTTTAGTGAATAATGACCAGAAATTTAGTCTGAATATTCGTGCCATATTTAACTCCAATATGTGCTGTTGTGGTGGTTTATACACTGTCACATGTTCTGAGCGCCCGTGGCTTTATCTTCTCCATCATCTATGTTTATTTGATTTTTCATATCATATAAGCCAAAATCAGCCGGATATGGGACAGGAACCAACTTTTGATAAAGAAATTCTTCTCACAGGAGAAGAAGTTGATAAAAACAAATATATATTTTCGTGTCTGATAGAAAATGTTCAGACAAATTTTGCCCATCATGGTATAATTTCTATTTGGGTCTGATGTGTCAACTTGTCTAATTATTAGTTCTCTTTATCTGCCAACTTGTCTATTTATCAGTGTTTACCACCACATTTGAAATGTACTATTGAGTATTGAGTGATTGACATATACCACCCTAATAAATAATCTGCAATCTCTTGAAAACCAAAGATCGGAGAGCACAGTGGAAATGTACATTTGGGGAGTTTAAGCTCATCAACGCACAAAAACAAAGAGAGCAAATGACAACATCAACATCTCAATACTATCCAATGAGTGGCGGTGACGGCCAACACAGTTACATCCATAATTCCTCATACCAAGTATGCTATATATATATATATATATATATATATATATATATATAGTGAAAATTCCTCAGACTAGCCTTTAAGGTTAATGAAATGACAAACCTAGCCTAACATATTGAATGGCTTACTAGACTAACCTTATAAAGTTGGTTTAAGTCCATTTTATCCAGATGTTGAATATTATTACGAAAATGCCATTATGATTTTTTTTTATAAATTTTTTTTTTTTCGAAAAAACTTTAATTTCGAAAAAAACTTTTTAAAAAATCGAAATCTTTTTGACGAAAAAAGCAAAAAAAAAAAAAAATACAAAACCAAAAACTAAAAAAAGAAAAACCCTAATTTATTTTCTTCTCTCTCTCTTTCTCCTGCGCCGTTTTTTTTCTCCCATGGAGCTGCTCTTCTTCTTAACCTTTTCATTCCTCTCTTGCTCTCCTCTTTATCTTTTCATTTGTTTTGTTAAATTTTGTTGTATGAATATGTATTCTTTATGAACTTCAAAGCTTCGATGTTTCAGATCGAGAAAAACACAACTAGTTCTACCGATTTTTTGTATCAAGAAGCCTCCAACGTTTCCAAGCCCGGAGATCTAGATCTTCCTATGGTTTCTACAATTCATTCTGCTATTATGTGAGTTTTTTTTTCATTTTTTCGAATTCTTTGATTTTTTTCTAGATCTGGGTTTTTGGATCTAATATCAACGATAAACTATGGAGATGTGGCGGTTGGTGGTGACTCTTAAGCAGCATTCTCGCTGCGTCGCGCACAACCGCAGTGGATAGACGTTGTTTCGATGGAATGGTCGGCGGCATAAAAATTTTTTTTTTCAGGTACGTTTGGTAGATATATTTGAAATCGATTTTGTATTTTTTTGGTTGTAAAGTTCATAATGTGTGATGGTAGATTTATTTGAAAAACGGTATGTAGTTTGGTAGATTATTAGTTATTTGATGGTAGATATATTTAGAAAACGAAATGTGGTTTGGTAGATTTATTAGTTATTTAATGGTAAAATTATTTTAAAAAACGAAATCGTTTGGTAGATTTATTAGTCATTTAATGATAGACTTATTTGTAAAACGATGTGGTTTGGTAGATTTATTAGTCATTTAATGGTAACTTATTTGAATTTGGTAGATTTATTAGTTATTTATGGTAGATTTATCAGTCGTTTATATTTGAATTTTATATATAAATAACAATATTTGTTTATTTTTTTCTGACAGATTATGGGCTTTGCCATGGTGAACAAATCTTTGATGGGATATCCAGCACCGATCCGACATGTTTTACTATGAATTGTAGATTTACATTTGGTAGATTTGTTTTGAAATGATGGTAGACTTATTATTAAATTGATGGTATATCTATATTTGAATTTGTAGTAAATGATAATTAGATTTTGAATGATAATAATTTTGTTTTCAAATTATATTTGTCGTAAAACATTGATCCAGACATTTCACATTTTTATCACATTTGCTAGTAATGTTATTATTCAATTTAATTTATTTCTTTACTTTATATCATAACTGAAATCATTTGACATTGTGATGTTATAAAAGTTTATGTAAATAGAGTTAAATGTAACAAATATTCAAAAATAAAAATCAAGTTAAGAGATGGTTATTACAAATATGACATATATGTTCAAAGTTAATATAAAAGGCAAAGTTATCTTAGAGAAAAGATATATCATAGAAAAAATATTCATGTTAGAAATTTTTGATCATTGATTATGGCATCTATATCGTAAAGAACAATACTCATCTGTGATCGAATCACAGTTAACCGACATAATCTTAGCAAACTCATGCAAAGAAAACGTCAATGGTAACAAAAATCAAGTCAAATATAACCATGGAAAAAGTCTACCATATGTACGAAACCTGTTTAACATACAACATTCCAAAACAAGTCTACCAAATCGCTGGTTTTTTCGTAGATAGGAGAATATATTTAGGACAAAAAAAGTAATTTCAATCCAAAAAGTCAAATGTCTGCCAAACATTAACAACTAAGTCTACCTCAAGCATGGAAAATAGCTCTACCATAGAAACAAGTCTACCATAAGCACCTCATATGTCTACCAGATCGAGGTTATCTTTGTAAATACCAAACTTAATTAATCTTAACTACATGATTATTATAAGAAGTCTACCATACGTACAATAACTCTACCAGATTACATAAACTCTACCAAACTGACAAACAAATCTACCAACATTGTGTAAATCTACTTCATGTAGCAAATAATCTACCACTTACCGGAAGAAATTTTATTTCAATTTAAATCTACCACACAACAAACATATCTACCACAAAACAAATAAATCTACCAACATTTTGTAAGTCTACCTCATGTAACAAATAATCTACCACTCACCGGAAAGAATTTTACTTGAATTTAAATCTACCACAAAACAAACATATCTACCACAAAAGCAAAAAATCTACCAACTAAATATAACTCTACCATGAAACAAATATATCTACCGTCACATAATGACAACTTTTTTTCACATAAGTCTACTACCAAAGGACATAAGTCTACCAACTTAGAAATTAAATCTACCTCATTGTCAATAAATCTACTGATAAAGTCAACTATGCGACAAAGTCAACGCTTTCTTTAACAAATCTACCAACACGTTTGACAAGTCTGCCATTCATAACAACAAATCTACCAAAACATAATAAATCTACCTCTCATCATCAAAACTCTACCAAGATAAGTCTACCAACATTTGTAAACTCTACCAACTCTCGAATAAATCTACCATCGACCTAATAACTCTACCGACAAAATTTTTGCGTTGACCAAAATTTGATAAGTCAACCATCAAAGCCTGGTAGACTTATCAAATTTTCAGCGCTATATTTTGCCTACGTGGCATTAAAAAAGTAATGGCATTTTCGTAATTATGTTTTTTTCAACAAAGGCCAAAAGGGTGTTTTGGGTATGCTAAGTTAGTTTTGTAAAAAAAATAAAAGTACGCCAAACAAGTAATATAGATACTTTATAAGGTTAGTGTAGTAATCCTCCCATATATATATATTATATTATATTTTCTGTTATTCCTATTTTTAATGTAATATTCTTCTATAATTTTCTTTCTAATTTTTAAGAAGCATTCATTCCTTTCTAATATTATACAAAATATCTTTTTTGCATTTAAATAAATCTACATTCAATTGAACTAAAAGATTATTAAAGATAACTAAGGTTTAGATGTCTTTCTAACTAAATAAGTGTTATTCTAGTAAAGCTTTGAACGAGGAGTCATTCTAGTAATTGTTCTTAAAAGAAGAGTCATTCCAGGTAATTTATCATGATTATATGATTGGAATGATAGTGATTATATATATGCTACATAATTTGTTAATTTTAGAATTTAAAGATTATATGCGAATTTTTATGAGGGAAAAATATAATTTTCCTTTATAGAGATATATTAAACTAAAAAATTACAGTATAAACTCTATAAATTAATACTCGATAGATTAATAAACTAGATAAATTAATATTTTTTATGGTTTCGAGTTGGACTGGTTCGAATTATGACATAATTCGATAAGATAATAAGATAATAATTTTAACAAAACTCCTATGTAAATATATGGAAACAAAAAAAATGAAAACCCCAAAAACTAAGATTTAACCCTGAAAAAGCTAAAATGTAAACCTTCAGTCCTAAATCTTAACCGTAAGACCTAGGTAAAATAGTGTATTTTTTCAGGACCTAACTGGATTGTCAAGTGAATAACAGAATAGATAAGTAATAAAATAGCAAAATCAATAAAACAAGTAAACTTCGTTAAAAGTACTTGCTAAAAGAGTAAAGTTTTGTATAAACTAGTTATAAATTTCTATGTGCGGAATGAATTGAAAAATAGTTTGTTAATGTATTTTCTATTATTTTCATGTTTGTTATTGTGAATGGTATATATTTAGTTGAATCCTTTTTCAAAACATAAAAATATGAAAAAAAAAAAAAACATACCATTTGAGTCAGGAGTCCTTTGTTTTGACCATTTTCAACATTTTTTCAGTTATCCTTAAATTAGTTAACTTTACACTTGTGATATAGAAAGCAGCCATGGATGGCGCTGAAGAAATGACAAGGCAATGCATCTTACAGAAGCTTGATCTCCAACTAAACTCCGATCTTGGTACTTTCAGAATTGCGGATTTTGGTTGTTCTATTGGCCCAAACACGTTTCTTGCTGTTCAAACTATCATTGATAGTGTGAAAGTCAAACAATCGAAGGACAACAAAGAAGTTAGCCTCATGCCTCTCGAGTTCCAAGTATTCTTCAACGATCAACCCAACAACGACTTCAACACACTCTTTAGAACTCAGCCTCGTTCCTCCAAACATGAATATTTCTCCACTGGCGTTCCTGGCTCCTTTTATGGCAGAGTGTTACCACGAAACAGCGTCCACATTGGACATACTTCCTACACAATTCACTGGCTTTCCAAAGTTCCCGAACAAGTATGTGTCAAGAATTCTCTTGCTTGGAACAAAGATTACATCCAGTGTAATAATTTAGTAGAAGAAGTGAACAAAGCTTACAAAGTCCAGTTCATAGAAGACATGAAAATTTTTCTTGAAGCAAGAGCTGAAGAGATTGTTCAAGGAGGATTGATGATTGTATTAGGACAATGTTTGTCTGATGAAGTTCCCATGTCTGAGACATGGCAGGGTATTGTGGTGGATATGATCGGTGATTGTCTTAATGATATTGCAATAGCTGTACGACATATAATTCTAAAACTTTTTTATAACATATGGTATGAGTCATGAAAAATTGCTAATAACCAGATGTTGTTTTCCTTTACAGGGAGTAACAAGCAAGTAAAAGATCGAGTTTTTCAACTTACCAGTGTATTTTCCGCAGTTTAGTGAACTGAAGAGAGAGGTGAAGCAGAACAAAAGATTTACAGTTGAGATGATTGAGACTATATGTCATCCAATGGAGGATATTCCGTTAACAAATAGCTTCATTCCTTCCATGTTTAGAGCTATTCTTTATACGATTATAAAAGAACATTTCGGAGAAGGTGTGGTTGATGAGCTATTTGATCGTTTTGCTGAGAAACTCGCCAAGCAACCAATTAATTTTAAACAGTGTGAGAAACATGTGTACTATTTTACATTGCTTAAACGAAAATGAACAATGCATATATACACAAAGAGTTATGTTGTTGCCCTATTGTGTTATTGTAACACCAGGTGCAAATTTGTCTCTTTATCAAGATTATATGAAGAATATATATCAATCGTCAAGCCTATGAATTTGAGGTAAAGACTAACTTGTGCAAGAGTATTGAGCTCCATATGATGGTATATTGTTTTATCAATATGGCCAAATCTGTGAGATAGAAATCCTATGATGTTGTTAAAAAATCTAGCATTTGCAAGAAAGTTGAATTCCATATGATGGTAAATTCTCTTAACAATATGGCTAAATCTATGAGATATCAATTGGCTATGAGGTTGTTAAGAATCTAACATGTGCAAGAGTGTTGAGCTCCATGTCATCGTGTATTGTCTTATCAATATGGCCAAATTTATGAGATATCTAATGTCAGAAAACAAAATTATTCAAAACGGTCCTGTGCTACTACGCGATCATCGTTTTGGCCAAGATTCAAATCAGTTCACATACTCACCTTATAATTTTTTTTATAATATAAACCATATCGTTAACATAAAAGTAGGAGAATTATCTATTTAACAATTTCTCTAATACTACTAATTAAGATGCTTGTTAAATATGGTTTATAGGTTTCTAACTTAAAATTAATTGGCAGTAAATGAATTGACCTTTATCCTTTATATACTGTTTTATAAATTCTCCAACTACCGATGTGGACTTTCACAACACTCCTCATGTTCAAACTAGAAGCGTGAAAACTTGTGGGAACAAACACAAACCCACGCGAATGATTCTTATGGATTAAAGTTAACGCTTCTGCCAAATTCTAAAATCATGGATTCATGGTGATGGTGTCTGTCGGTGAAGAGAAGAATCAAGATGACGTTGACGTGAAGTGTGGATCTATATCCACGTGGGTTTCTTAATTAGTTAATGGATTTTTCGGTTTTGTCTTGATATTATTTTGGTTTTGGTTTAAGTTAAAATTTTGGTTTAAATCTATACTATTAAAACGGAAAAGGTGTTTTGTGTCCAAACATAATTTTTATTTAGTTTTTTACTATTCTGTTTTTGGATTGTTATTTCTGTTATATTATCAAAAATTTCCTTAAATATAGATTAAATTATCAAAAATTATAAAATACATTATTATTATTATACTTTTACAAAATAATAACCCAGATATTAATTTAGATTTAATTAAAATATTCAAATTTAAATAATATTTTCAATGACAAAGTTAAAAATAATATATTACTAGATTCTACCCCGTGCGTTCGCCCGAGAACTATTTTTTCCTTTTTGTTTATATATAATTTTCTAATAAATAATAAAAATTATAAAATGTAATTTCTTTCTATTAATTTATTCTTTCTAGTATTATATATGACCGCGATTAGAAAAATATTATTTTAACTTGTCCGTTCGTTTATATTATCTGAAAAATACCACAAATAAAAAACGTCATTATACATACTCATTTATATTAATCCAAAAAGAACCAAGATTATTAAAACATTTAATATATTTCTTCATATTATTTTTATATTTTAAATATTTATTAAGTTTAAATATTTAAATTTTAGACTTATTAATAAAAATATACAATAATATATCATTTTCATCTCTGTCATTGAAAATTTAAATTAAATCAAAATTATTGATAATATAACCTATATTTAAGGAAATCTATAACAAATCTAAATTAAAAATTAAATTTTCAGATTTATATTAAAATATAAATAAAAATACATTATTTTATTAATATTACACTAAATTAACTTATTTGATAAATCTAAATTAAAATCAATATTTTTGTTTGGCAACAGTTATCCAAAAATAGAATAGTAGGAAACTAAGTAAAAATTCTGTTTGGACACAAAACACTTTTCTCTTTTAATAGTATATATATTGTATATTTTTAATAAATAGTTAAACTAAATAAATATGTAAAATATACAAATAAAATGAATGGACATGTTAAATGTTTTAATAATTTCGATTTTTTAGATTAATATAAATGAGCCTGTTATAATGATATTTTTTAATTGTGGTACTTTTCAGATTAATATGAACAGACGGGTTAGAATAATATTTTTCTAATTGCAATTAATATATTATATTTAAACATAAACTTTTTATCACTTATTAGAAAATTATATATAAACAAAACAGAAAACAAAATTTATATTACAAATAAAAAATAGTTCTCGTGCGGGCGCAAGGGCTTGAATCTAGTTTTTATTTATAGTTTGTTTTAGCATACAATGGATTTTTGAGAAATAATGATTCCAAGGGTTTGAAGGGTTCACACGTTTGGATATATTTTTTTTTTTTGTTGAGATTTATTTTTAAGTTTAGAATATCTCAAAATTTATAAGTTTTGGCTTCTTCCATTATGAGAGAGTTGATTCTGGTTTTAGGGATATTTATTTGGAACGCTCATGTTTTTAGGTCATTATTTTTTATTCTGATTTATGGACTGTCTAAGTCAAAGACAATTATTTGTGGAGTTGCAGAAGTTTACACTCACGGGATGTTATTATTCCCTTTCTTTTCAGACCAAAGACGAGCGGAAGTTCCATCCCTGATTGAAGTTTATATCCGGAGGAGTCAGTAGACATGTTTTGTCCTCGATAAGTGTCCATAACAAAGGTGTTCCGCTGTGACTGCTGATTTTTGCGTTTTGCATACCATCTATGTCGTGTGGGAGGGTATTAAAGATAGCTTGGAAAGCAAGATGTGGATCTTGCAAACTAAGTGTTGTGGGCCGTAAGAGCCCGGTTATGAAGTGAAGCCCGTGATCTCAACCGAAGAATATTCTTACAGATATCCTATTGTGATAAAGATTAGGAAGATTACATTATTTGGTATTATCAATATGTTAATGTTAAACAGTGTATATATATATGTCTTAAGATCTTGTATCGAAACAACTCAATAATATATCTTTTCTAGAATATTTAACATGGTATTACAGCCACCCGATATATAATGAGACTAAATGCAGAATTATCAGTCAACCTCGTCAAGACCAACATCTCATTTTAATCGATGAGTTAAGTGGTTAAAGTGTAATGGTCGGAACCTCAACCTTAGAGTCCATTTAAAACGAATCAGGCAGAGTAAACGGAGACATAAGTACGATCTGAGAGTATAAAGAAAAGAAAAGGGCAGAGGAGCAAGGAATCCGTAATTCTTACAACTTTAAACACACCCAACTATCATAGCAATCTACCTCTTAGCACAAACACTTGTCTTTCTATTTTTGTTCTTGTAATTCACTGGAAAATCGTAATACTAAAGCCTCGCTTCGTCTCAATCCTGTCTAAACTCTTTCGTTCTTTGTTTGTTCTGATAGAACAACAAATTTACTGTTTAATACTCGAGTAATTTTCTGGTTCTTCTCCTCTTAAAGATTGACCCTAAACCTTCCTATTTTCATTTTTTACAAATTTTAATCAACACTCCCTTTGTTTAATTTTAAAATTCTAAATATAAATAAAAAACATTGCTACGGAATTTCGTTTTTTCACAGCAATTAGTATTTTGTTCACTCATCTAGTAAATTTAGTAAGGAAGAGTAAGAAATTATAAAAGTAAAAATATATAAATATGTAGCTTATGTTAGAATGGTTAACAATGGTAAGTGCAATACGGTTAGTTTTTTTTTCCTCAAATTTAATTGTAGTTTTGACTCAACAAATTCCACATGTGGCAGAAACAAATTTTGCTCGTCATGAATTTGAGGTACTTTTGATCACACAACAGTATAATAGTTTGGGTTAAATTAAATAAAGGGATAATTGGCAAAATACACTATTTAGGTTTTTAAATTAGTAAAATACACTGTTTTTTTTTTAAAATTGCACTTTTGATATATGTAAAAACATTTTTGACCAAAATTATTTAGAAATTAAATATTTTAATAAATGAAGATAAAAATTCGAAATTATTAATTCTATGATTATTTTATGTTTGACATAAAAAATATCTAATCATGTAATATTTTAAAATAGAAAATTGGATAAACTTTCAAATCTTTAAATTTATCACTTAAGAAAATTAGTTTTGTTAGTCTTATATAATGATGTTAAGTTAAACACTTTCATTTCTGACCCAAAAAAGTTAAACACTTTCATGAACAATTCAGTTTTTTTTAAGAAAAGCAACCATAACTTTATTGACTAATTATTTATCTTTACACAAGAAGAATCCTACTGCCACTAGTGCTTAGATAGAATTAGATAGAAGGGAAGTGTTTGTAGTCAAAACTGATTGTTGCGTAAATATAGAAAAACACTGACATGCAACAAAAATATAGAAAAACTTAGTTTTCTCCATGTTTACTAACTCTGCATGTAAATACCCTAATAAAAAAGTTTTGGAGATAAGCCTACTCATGTCGAATCATCATTATATATAAGAAAACTTCCACTAGTTTGTGGGTAGTTAGCAGGGTTTCCCCCTCCCAAACTAGTCAACATCTCAAGTCTCAATTATATGTAAGATTTGATCAGTAGCTACATCTATACGAATAATCTTCTAACTAAGAGAAGCTTGTCTTGTGAAGATGAGGATAACTTAACCGGTGCAGACTATAAATGCAGCAAGATGTGTATACTTAAGTCTTTGTTAGTTTAATCACTTTTATTTAGGAGCATTGTGATTTTTTGTGGTTATGGGGAGGCACTATATATAGATTTTTATTTGGCTTACCATCGAATTAACAACGTTATTTAACAATGAATTAACGACGAAATGTAGTTTAGCGACGAATTAACAACGAAAATGAGAATCGGGTGAAAACGTGTTTGACTGAACTATTATTTTGTCGTAAAATCGTCGTTGATTTCCGACGGAATATATTTGTCCTTAAATCGTCGCTATATTACGACGATTTAACGTCGACTGCTATTATCGTCGCCAGATCGTCGTTATTGCACGACGATTTAACGTCGATTGTGTTTCGTCGCAAATTAACGACGATTTGGCGACGATTCTAAGAATCGTCG